CCGTTAGTAGCGCAGTCCCCTAAGATTTAAGGTATTGCCTTACTAATAAGAAAACTAAAAAAAATAAAAAAACCCAAAGAAAAATAATCAAAATGCAGGTTACCCATAAAATAAAAAACACAAACACATCAAAACAAGACTGTATACTATAAAATCATTTACTTATGATTTAAGAAGGTCACAATTATTAGAGTATGTATATCTATATTGATATATATCATTATGAATACATAATGAGATATGTATATGTATGGATATATATCTCTTAGGTGTCTCTTGATTATGATAAGATTAGTTAGTACTTATCCATAACCGTTGGTATTTATCTTTAATTGTTATTGGCCGTTTATTTATACGGGTCCTATATATTCTTTATGAATCAATCAATAAACAGAGAGGTCTTGTATATTCTTTATGAATCAATCGATAAATCTTTATGAATCAATCAATAAACAGAGAGTTCTTTGCAGTATTCTTAAATAATCTTTCATGTGAGTCTAAGGCCCAAATATACAAAATACAGTTTCTAACAATAATCACCCTATCATAAGATGCTAAATAGAGTAGCTAGGGATGAGTACTCTTTGTGGACAATGTTTCGAAAAAATTTCTTGAATTTTCTACACAATTAGAAGCATATCCTTGTACGAAAACTAAATGGTTATATCGTACAGTTTCCCCTGAAAAGGTTATTCGTTGTTTACAGGAAATGTAAAATGCGTCCACTAATCAGAGATGTCATCATGTCCTAGATAATATTTAGATAAATTGTCCTTGTAGAAGGTTTATAACTTAACGGCGCATGCCATGCAAATCATGAACAGATAGATAATGTCTCAGGAGTACTTCGGATTGTGCAAAAGGCAATGAGAAGCACAGAGAATTCACCCATGAGTGATGCAAAGTTAAAGAAACAGGAACAGCAGACACTACAAATCCACAATGGCAATGGCCCTCGTAATGGGAAATTGAAAAAATAGAGAGATAAGAGGAATTAATGAACAACTTCTGAGAAACCTCTTAAGCTACACTACAAATCCACAATGGTAATGGCCCTCGTAATGGGAAATTGAAAAATAGAGAGATAAGAGGAATTAATGAACAGCTTCTGAGAAACCTCTTAAGCTCAATTTCGATTATTCATAAGAGAAGATTAATTGATAGAGAGTAAAACAACCACCTCTGCAGTTTTATAACAAAAGCAAATAATCCTTGCTCGTAATGCTCCAAAATACCCACACCAACTGAAATGTAACAAGAGCAAAGCAGAATACAAATCATCGATGCTGAAAACGAACTAGGATCCCAGGTATAAGCGAGAGGGTGTGGACTACGCGACAGGGTACGAAGCCAGGTCTGCTATGCCGCATAGGTCATCTCCTCGCTTTAATTTCATGTACCCATTGTCACCCCAAGCTTCGCCCCAGGAGTTCTTGATTAGCCAGTAGTCGACGCCATCCTCAGTTCCGTAGCCGATAATTGTGACAGCATGATTCAATTGGGTGCCACAATCTCCTGTGAATACCCCCTCAGAATAATGCTTAAATCCGAACGCGCTACCATCAATACCAACAGATACTGGCTGGTTGGCAACGGCAAGAAGCAACGAGTCCTCATCAGCAGGAGGAACGTCATGGTAATCAGTAATTGTGGCTGCTTTAGAGGATGATTTTTGGGCATCGCATGTGCCGCCCTGGATTGACTGGTATGGGTAGTCGGTCTCTCTGGCGAGGCCACCGTTGTGTATGATGAACCGAAATGCCTCGTCCATGAAGCCGCCTAGACAACCTTTGCTGCCGCCACCAGTGCAGTCCAACACTTGTTGCTCAGACAAAGACACCAAGTTTCCAGTCTTCATCTTTGTTATGCTCTCCATGGCAGCCACGGCCGAAAACGCCCAACAACATCCTGTGAACAAAGACAGCATCTACTCATTTATGCCAAATGATGTCCGCATAAAGTTAGAAAGTTTGAGAAATAGTACCGCAAGTTTGTTGGTTCTTGATCGGAGTCACCACGCCTTGCTCCCTCCAATCCATGGTGTTCGGTGCGGACAAATTGGCATACATGAAAGGTTCCACCGGGGCCTTCTTACGAGCCGTAGCATCTCCCCTCAAGCCCAGATACTGCTTCCGGAATTCATCGAGACTCAAGTCAGCAAACGTGTTGAGGCTCAGCTTGTACGATCGCTTCTCAGCGTTGACAGACTCTATGAACCTGAGGTTTTCCTTGAAGACATTGAAGCGTTTCTCCTTCTCTTCGATGCTCTCGTATTCGACCCCATGGTTTGCCATCCATTGGTCGAACCTTACGGACATGGTGTCTTCCTCTAGCTGGCGGGGTGCCACCGAGGGAAGCCAAAGCCCTACAAAGAGAACAGTTGAGAGCGAAAAAACAAGGCGTGCCATGTTAACTAAAGCTAGAAGAGATTAGGGGTAAGTATACATAGCGTGGCTTGAGACGCTGCCCCGTTTTATGAAATTTTTACCTACCCATTACTTATCTTGACGAATAGATTGGATGATCATCTTATGATTTAGAGATATATCACATTGAATATTTGAAACTTATATTCATAGGGAGGTCATTTTTATGTTGAGTGATATATATAGAGTTACTCCTCACTGCTATTAATTTTTTCTATACTGAGAGATATATACATTTAGAGTTTTAAATTTTTTAATATTTTAAGTGTATCCGGTTCATTTTATTTGCAACCCTATTTTTAGAAGTCACGTTGCAATAATCTATCGCATTCATTGTATTTGGACATGGTAGATTTTACATTATCTTCAAAAATGTGTCACAATAAGAAGTGGTTTGTCTAGAGTTAACTAGACCTCAAAATACAAAAGTTCAAGTTAGAAGGGCTTGTGATGGGTGTATTTATCAAAACAATAGTTATTTTTTTATTAAAAAATTATTTAAATAGATAACTTTGTCTTTTAGTTAAAATTTTAATTTTACCCCTTATGGAGATGACAAAAGTACCATTTGTATTGTAGTAGTATTTACAAAATTGCCCCACAAAAATAACTTTTTTTAAAGAATAGACTACAAAATTAATAAATCCACCATTCACAACTCTCTCTAACTTGAACCTTTGTAATTTACAGGGTTCTGAAGTTTAGAACATCCCATATATATATATATATATATATATATATAACATTTTGGCAAAGATTAGAAAGCGCTTTAGCTATGTATACTTATTGAGCAATGATCCAATGCAACGC